AGTACTCCGGGCAGCAGATGCTGGTCCACCCCCGTCTGTACCTACAACTCCTGGCCGCCAGCACCTGTTATTTCTCTCACTCTCGCCGGGAAACTTTGGGCGTAGGGATATGGAAAACTGTACAGGAGGCTCTCGCCAGAGCAGCCAAGTTAACCCTAACTGAAAAGCTCCCTGTCTGCAGCGCGCTCGCCCATGGTGGAGACGGTGCTTTGTACTGGGTCAGAGCCAGGTGTGACCTCACCCAAGGAGAAGGCCACATTCTGAAGTCGGTAAGAGCTGAGCAAGAGGGAGTTCTACCCGCCTGGGACGCAAGGAATAGAGGCAGAGAGAAGCTGGGACCACCAGATAAAGAAGACTTAAAAAGAAAGACAGAGATGGAGAGAGACAGAAAAGGTGAGAAGGTGGGGTGAGGTGCAGAGGAGAGGCTCCCAGGGAAGTTGTAGAGCATGGCTGCAAATTCTTTGACACTCCTTCATCAACAGGTGGAGCTTCTGCCCTATGTCTTGACTCTGCACAGGCCTGTTTGCCCAAGAGTGTGGGAGACGTGAAGGCTGGGTCATAGCAGCCATCCAGCTTCCCCTTCGCCCACTGGACTGCCCTGGGGCCACCATGTCATGAGGAAGCTCAAGCTCCCTGGAGAGGCCTCCTGTGCACGTTCTAGTTGGCCCAGCTGTGCCCAGCCGTCCTGTCCTCCCAGCCCTGGCACCAGACCTATGAATGAAAACTCCTCCAGGTGACTCCACCCCTGGGCCTTCAAGTCACCCTCAGCTAAGATCCCAGATGTTGTGGAGCATAGAAAGCCAACACCTTTGTAACTGTCTAAATTCTGACCTGCAAAATCCACCAACACAATAAAGTGGCTTTTTTTTTTTATACCGCTAAGTTTGGGGATAGTTTGTAACAAACACAAAAAGAGGTGACTGAGCCATCCTCACCCCTGTCGGGCTCCACCGAGACTGCAGGGCAGCCCAGTGGTAACAAAACTCCTAAGGCGTTCAAGTCAGATTCTAGGAAAAAAAAAAATACTCGCGGGCACTGCTTATCCACAAACACGCTGCGAGGCGTAACATCAGACCAAATAAAGTTGGAAAGTGCTGGATTAAATGCGTTTCCTAAAATGAAAGAGACCTTTCAATTTACAGTGAACAGGGTGCATGTCCGAGAGAGACGGAGGTTACTGTGTGCCCTGGGGGTCAGGACCTCTGCTGATTTCCTCCTTCTTATGGCAAAAGCAGCCAGATGTTCCACTGAGAAACCACCCCACCCCCCACTCTCAGCCCACTGAGTTGTTAAGCTGCAGTCATTAATTATAGATCATTCTTTGGAAAGAATTTCTAAATATTTCTGAGTAATTGGGTTGCAAAACTTTCTACAATGCAGAGTCTGAATCACTCCCACAAATAATTTCTTCCTGGTTCCCACAGCTGCTTCTCTGTGGGGAGAAAGTATCCCCATGGCACCCATGGGTGGCTGGCTGCCTGGCCAAGGGTCCCAGGGCCCAGCAGATTCCGTGCATGCTTGGTCCAGAGGTCGTCATCTTCAGCCATCTGGACATCGCAAGGGCTGCATCCCAGACAGTTTTGCAAGCACTCAGCAAGGGGTTGTTGAAATACATTGATTCCCTAATTTTTGAAATACAAAGAGTGAAGAAGCCTTGATTTTCAGAATGTTTCACCAGCTTGCCTTCAGGACCCTAAGCTAACTGTCCAGTGGAAGGTCAACATCTCGAAAGTAAGTTCGCATCCAGGGCCCTAACAACATTCTCTAGAATGCTTCACTCCCCTCCTCCAAGGCTGCTGGAAGAGGTTGAGTAGGAAGGATTTGGCAGCTGCCCGCACAAGGGTGTTGAACTCTGGGGAGCCCAGACTACACCACATTTCCACATTTGGCCCTGAATCCACAGGCCAGAGAAGAGCTTGCTTATAAACAAAATTCCTACTTGCTGTGTGCGGGAATTAGTGTGACTCACAACAGAGATGGCTAAGAAAGCCAGCAATTCGCCAGCTGGCAGCCTCCCCCACTACAGCAAGATCTTATCATGAGGTCTCTCCTACCAAGCTGCCATCCCAGGCCACAGGTGGCTCACAGTCACCCCACCGTGGGCCTGTGCCTCTGTTTCCTCATCTGTAAGCTGGGAACAAGAACAGGTCTAGTCTCACTGGACTCACGTGAGGACAAGGAGAGCACACAGCGGCTTCACTTGCAGGTGGGGGTCGGGCAGTCTCTACACTTGGGTTGGCCAGAGTCAGTGCCTCCCTGCCACGGACGCGTCCTGCTCTGGTTTGTTCAGTAGGAATGTCCTACCGGACTAGAAGCAAACTCCAAGCCTACCATACCGAGTCCTTGTGTCCTCACCGTGTCCCTGTCCCTGGGTGTGAGGAAGCACACACCCCGGCCATGTGTGGCCGACCCAGCCAGGGGCGCCCTCGTAGAAATCAGTTCGATTCGTGTCCAGGGAAGCGTTGGTAGCCCCAGCCGCCTACTCCCTCCTTAACCTTCTGCACACTCACGGCTTAGCTCAGCAGCCCAAACAGGCCCCCACCCTTTCCACATGGTGTGCCCTCACTGCGTGAGCCAGGAGATTCCCTGGGATCAAAGTCCCTATCCTTTCTTGCAGTTGTTTTGGGAATGAGTTAAGAGAAATCTTTAAAATCATATTATAGGCCACACACAGTGGCTCACACCTATAATCCCAGCACTCTGGGAGGCCGAGGCAGGTGAACTGCCTGAGCTCAGCAGTTGGAGACCAGGCTGAGAAAAGCAAAATTTCCATCTCTACTAAAAATCAAAAAACTAGCCAGGCTTTGTGGCGGGTGCCTGTAGTCCTGGCTCCTTGTGAGGCTGAAGCAGGAGGATCACTTGAGCCCAAGAGTTTGAGGTTGCTGTGAGCTATGATGCCACGGCACGCTACCCAGCCATCTGGACATGAGTGAGACTCTGTCTCAAATTAATTAGTTAAATCATATTATAGTGCTGCTTTAATTTGGTGGACTGAATTATCGTCACCCTTTGTATCCCCCTTTGGAGAACCCAGAAGCTGGTGAAAATTATAAATACACAGAGCACACATCAGCTTTTTTAAAAAAGCATTTTATTAAAGAGTAAAAGAGATCAATATACTTTTTAAATGCATACAAAAATAAATACTCATTCAGCATATTAAACATACGTGCTTTAACATTCATGAGAGCTGGAGACTCAGGCCTATTAGCTCACAGACTCTTCAGCAAACAGGTCTGGTTCCATGAAAATACATAATGCTCACTCCTTGGCCAAGAGGGAAGAGCCACTCCCCTGGCACCTTCCCGTAGTCACATGTGACATTGTCCAGGTCTAAAGGACCTCTTGTTACCATGTCTGACTACACATCACACCTCCGCTGCCCTCAGAGATGTGGCTACGGGAAAGGGAACTGGGCATTCTTTAACCTTTCAGATCTTAAATCAGAGACGCTCGTGAGGACAAGGCTGGCTGAACCTGAGTCTCCCAGCACTTTCTGCCCTTTTCACAATCAGGGTGGACACGTAAGGCCTTCTCCTGCCCTTTCATGGCAGGTTCTGGGTAAGGGAAGATGGCAACTTGGGCAGGGCAGCTGGCGGTACCCAGCACACGGGGGGTGGGGGTGGGAGAGCCGCTAACCTTTGCCAGTCCAGATGTCTTACACAGGACACATGGATGTGTAAGGGGTGCCCCAGTCTAACAAAATACAGCATTTGATTTTAGAAAAAACATGCGTATATTGAAAATGATTCTCAAGTGTCTTCAGAGACAGATGAAATGGCGTATCAGAAGGCCAGCAAGGTCCCAGGGCCTCTGCCATTAGGCCAAGCCACACTGCAAGTCTCCTCACCGAGCTTTTGATCAGTACCATGATGTAAACAGTTTTAACACATTTGGGGTAGGAAATGAATCTTATTTGCTAGTAAGTTGGTTAAGTTCTTCCAGGGCTGAAACTGGGACTCCATTGCAATTCCACCACGCCTCTCGTCAAGGGGTAGAATCTGGGAGTGGTGTGAGGCCATCACAAACCTTGGGGAACACTAGGGGAGGGGACAGTGTCCTTCCCTCCCCAGGACCCTTTGGGACAGCAGCATGGTGAGAAGCTAATGCATCCCTTCCACAGCCCTGCAGTCCTCACTGTGCCCACCACCAATCACCACCGGCTAACTAAACTGCAGGCACAAGTGACAGGCTCGTGTGATCCACAATTATTTTGTAAACTTATGGTGTATACCCTGCTCATAAAAAAAGAAAAAAGATTCAAAGCAGTTTACAATAGGACATGTAAAATAAGGTAATTCAAAGTACAATTTATTTATTTATTTACTTTTTTAAGAGACAGAATCTCACTTTATCGCCCTCGGTAGAGTGCCATGGCTTCACAGCGCACAGCAACCTCCAACTCTTGGGCTTAGGCGATTCTCTTGCCTCAGCCTCCTGAGTATCTGGGACTACAGGTGCCCACCACAACGCCCGGCTATTTTTTGTTGCAGTTTGGCCGGGGCCGGGATCAAACCCACCACCCTCGGTATATGGGGCTGGCTCCCTACTGACTGAGCCACAGGCGCTGCCCCAAAGTACACATATTTTTAAAATAGACCACAATCATTTAGAAAGAAGGAAAAAAAAGAGGTATCTGGAATGATTTAATTACAGTAATGAAAAAATAAATTTATCTTTAAGCTTCCCGGCAAGAAAGCCCTAGAGGAAAAGTTTGCATTGTCTGAAGACAGAGACACAGCAGTTCTCTGGATATGAACGTGCATCCCTGCACCCAATGTGGGTAGAACAGACTTCCTTCTAACAAGTCAAGAGGTTAGACTTTTAGACTAACAAGTCAAGAGTTTTGCTTTTATTCAAATTGCCTACCATATTGGGGGGTGGGGATTAAGGACACACGAACCCCACGGGCTTGCAATTTAAAGGGAGGCGTGTATCCAAATAGTTTTAAACCTTACCAAAATGCTTAAAAGTAAAAAGATATTTCACGTAGAATCAAGCATGTGAAATCATAAGCCTACAACTCTAACACAAGATAAAGACAGAAACAGTCTTATTATTACAAGTTGATTTTAAACTTCAAATTTCTTTACTTGAAGCGGTACCTGCTAATATTTACTGCAGGATAAGTCTTTGGAAATGTCGACCCAAAATGCGGACAGGATTAAAGCAACTAATAATTAGGGGGGAAATGTAGAAAATGACATTATTTTTTATCACAGATTATAGTCATGGTATCCCGACCATCTGGTGTATAAGTTCCGGCATTTGTATCTGGAAAGGCGGCATGACTTTGTTTTAAACGTCAGCTCCTGGGTGGATGTCCTTACTACACCAAGAGCAAAGCAGGGGTCCCACCCCGGCCAGCGGGACCCACATCCTTCAGGAATTACAGTAGTCATTGTAATAGTGAAATGCAAGACAGCGGCGGTGTGGGGTGCCCAGGGGAGACACCTAGACCGTGATCTGTTGGTTTTCCCTGAAAAAGGGTCTCTGCTGTGGGGTACAGAAATCCGGGAACATCCGGAAGACCTGGTCCGGCTGGGACTCCTCAGAAACCTGCATCGTGGAGCTGGCCCCACAGCTCTTCCCAGCTTCTTCCACCAGCTGCCGGACGTAGAGCTGCTCTATCTAGAGTGATCATGCACAGAATGAGAGACGGAGGTTCCAAGGGGAGTGGGGCTGTCTCTGACCCCAGCCAGAGTCTCTGATTACCCCAGTCTAAAACTATCATTCCAGAAGCTCCATAGTCCTCAAATAAAGGAACCCAGACTAGGCAGATGCAAAGAAGGCACAGGCAGCGTTCCTGCAAAGACTGCCATATGTTCTCTCCCAATACTGCCCTGACCTGGCCAGCCAGTGCCCATAATTCCACCATTAGAGCTTCATTCCTTTGACTACAATTAAATAAAGGCCTGCGAAGCCCTAGTCTGTTGCTTAGACTCTAACCAAACTGGTAGAGTCTTTTTTAAAAGGGTGCTTTAAAAAACAACAACCACCAAAACCCACACACATGAACACTCCCATACAGATGATGAGGGTTCCAGACATGAGAAGATGGCTCAGAGATGGCAAGAACCCACCTCCCCGTATTGATGGTCTCAGCCAGGCTGGCCTCTGCACCCAGGTGGAAAAGCCCAGTCCCTGCTGCCTCTTCTCCAGCCCAAGTATGAGCATGATCACCCGTTCTTACCTGCACAAGAATGAGTTTGGAGCGCAAGGGGGCCATGTCTGGAAACTCTTCCCCAAAGCACAGCACCACCCCGCTGTCAGGGAGCCGGCCCTGGCTGCTGTAGAACTGCTGCAGCTCTGGAACAACACACAGGTCTCAGGGGGTGGCCTTGGAGGGGCCAGCATACTACTATAGGGTCCCAAACTGGTGGCCTTTTGGCCAAATTCCAACTAAGGGCTCGTGGCTTGGCCATTCCTAGGTTGCTGCTGGGGCATTAACATCTGGATATGGCACCTTGCCACAGGCCCACCTGGCTGACCCTCCGGTGAGTCTCACTCAGCCTGTCTGTCCATCACCTGCCTGGCTTCCTGTGTGAGGTCATCAGTCCCTGCCCAATGCCTCTGACCCAAGGTTTTCAAAGTGGAGTCTCAGGACTAGCACAGCCCTCTCCTGGGAGCTCATTGGAAGTGCAGAATCTCTGGCCCCGCCTCAGAGCCAAGGAATCACAGCCACTGAGACGGGCTGGGGAATCTGCCCTGCAGCCTGCCCCTTGGTACACCTGCTGCATGCCCAGGGGTAACAGCCCCTAACTCTCACCACCTCTTCACCTGGGGCTCACACACCTGAGCTCACACACCCCACGCACCCAACCCTTCCAGGAACTCTCGGAGCGGAGACCTGACTTCAGCTCGGGCCCATGCTGTTACAGGGAGAGGAGCAGAGAGCTTTGGGGACATAGAGAGGGGAGCTGGCCCACAGCATCCTAAGTTTCCAGGGGACACACGGGTTGGGATCCTACATATCCAACAGAATAACGAAAGCCACAGGCAGCACTTCCTGCGCAGAGCTAGCACGTCTCAGAAGTACACAGAACCCCAGGGACCTTGCTAAGATGTTAGTTCTGATCCCCAGGGCCTAGGGCAAGGCCTGAGGCTGCGTCTCTAACCAGGGCCCAGGGAACAGGCAGTCCTCAGAGCACAGTCTGAGCTGCATGGGGTTAATTCCTTCATCCTCCCAATGACCACTCAAGCGAGGAAGGTAAGGACTCTGTACCCCGTTTTGCAATACAGGGAAGTCACGGCCCAGAAAGGCTCCCCAGGGTCGCTCAGCGAGAAAGGCAGAGCAGAATTCTAAGGGGGTCCCCACGGCAGCCTCTGCCCCTCACACCTCTTCATCCTCCCCCCTATGACTGCGAACAGAACACAGGCAGATGTGTGACCTTTAAGACTTGGGGACAGCAAGGTGAGGATGGTACAGACCTCGGAAGAACTGGCTGGTGTCAAAGACCTGGACCACCTCGTCGCGCTCCAGCTTGTTGGGCCTGCCCTTGCACACCACGGCGTTGCCGCTGCAGAACACGCGGCCCTGGCACAGCCGCTTGACGAACACGCCCTGCCGGCTGCTGTACAGCAGCACCCCGCGCTCCAGGTGCCCAAACAGCTTCCGCGTCACCTGCCTCTGCCGCTCGCTGGGGATGGCGTCAGCGGGCGGGAAGCGCACCAGCTCCAGGCTCTCAGGCCCGTACAGCTTGGGTCCTGGCAGCCCGGGCTGACCCAGGGACAGGCGGCAGCCGTCCGGGCAGGTGGTGGTGGACTGGCCCATCAGCTTGCCCCCGTAGTAGAAGCTGATGACCATCTGGGAGAAAACTGAAGACCAGGGGGTGGGTCAAATTCCAACTAAGAAATTTTGGCCAAATTCCAACTAAGGGCCCATTGCTCCCAGTCTCTCCCGCCAGGGCCTTCACTTCTTGTGTGTCTCGGGTCTCTCTGACACTCTGGAGAAGTTCAAGGCCACCTTCTATAGTTAGTTTTTATAAGCAGAATAAATACAGAGAATGACTAAGAAAACCAGAGATCTAAAATACTAGAAACTACAACAGTACTCTCTCTACTTCCTTATCAGGAAGGTCTGGTAACTACTGTAGTTCCAAGTCATGCTGAAGGTAAAGGGTGTTTCCACAATCGCAATTTCTCATGGAAACACACCGTCTCCTCTCCCAGGCACCACTCATAGCACTGCAACCCACTGCCCAAATTCAGAATGGGAGGCAGTGGGCTGAGGTGGGAGGATGGGCTGATATTAGGCGTTCGAGATCAGCCTGAGCAAGAGCAAGACCCTGTCTCTACTAAAAATAGAAAAACTAGCCAGGTGCGATGGTGGGGACCCATAGTCCCAGCTACTCGGGAGCTCTCACGAAGAGGATCATTTGAGCCCAGGAGTTTGAGGTTGCTGTGAGCCATAAGGGACTCTACCCAGGGTGACAGAGTGAGATTCTGTCTCAAACAAAAAAAGAAATGCCAAATTTGAATTCCAAGTCAAAGAAGATAAAGACAGAACCTTTTTTATGACAAATTCACATTCCTCCTTAGGTTCCCCAGGCTTCCAATTAAGAATCTCTGCAAAGCCCCTTTATCCAAACCTGTTTTCAGAAAAGAGTCTGTAAAACAAACCCAGGCAGTGGGCAATGCATAGAATGAAGAGATTATTCCTTTTTCCTTATTCCTTCAATCTCTGATCACCTCAAAAAGAAAGCCTCGGTTTGGTGCTGACGGATCTCTGACCCCTGGTGCTTGACAACCTCCCTTTTAAAACAAGGACATCGAACTCAGGGCCGAAGTCTCAGACCAGGAGCACAACTTGGCTACAACTTCCTAATGTCGCGTTTGTCTTTCACCGAACTCGCCTTCGCCTCTGACTTCCCACTTACACCAGCCTGAATGTCCCTTCCAAGGACAACTGTTAGGAGGACAACCAGAGTCCTCACATAATCAGACAACTGCCAGGAGTGTCCACAAAGGCGGGGCCGCTGGCCTGCCCCCAACCCAGCAGTGAGAATGGGGGTGGTGCCTTACACAGGTCACGCTTATCCATAGCATCCCGCGACCCTGCTCAGGTCATCTGGGCTTCAACTCAAACAGTGCCCATGCCCCACTCCAGCCAGGAGCACCCCATACCTGAATGGTGCACATCGTAGGTGGTGTACCCAGATACCAGCGGCAAGCCTGCAGGAGAGGCAGGAAAGCAAGGTCAGGCCACCCAGGTAAGGGCAGGGACCCACCCCAACCACACCCTCTCCAAAGTTCCTTTAAGGCCGCACGTCGTGTGCTCCCAAGGCACCAGCAAGCTTGGGCTTCTGCTGAATTCGGTGCTTCTCCCCACCAGAGCCATGACCCATTATTTCACAAACACAGAACACCAGAGTCTGGTGTGGGGACTTCCTCTCTGTTGTGGGGTTTCTGGCCATGTGTCAGCGTGACACTGTGGGGCCATGTTTCCTCCCACCCAGAGGCCTGCCCTGAAATACCACTGGACATGGTGCCCAGTGGCCACGGCTCTGCAGGGGAGTCCAGGGCTCCATGCTCATTTTCCCGAGGTGGTCCTTACAGCACAGGGAGGGGCTTCCCCAGGCCTTATGTGACACTGACAACCATGGCCTGACAACCCTTGAGGTCCTCAGGGCCAGCTGTCACCTCCCAGGGGACAGGGCCGTGGGAAGAGCTCCAAGAGGAAGCAGACCTGCTCCGGGGCTGCAGAAGCCTGTGCCCAGGAGGAAGGGTCATTCCGGGCAGCCGGGGAGCTCTGAGTGTGATCATCAGACACTCATAAAGGGCACCCGTCTCTCTAAGCCCTGGTGACCCCACAGGGCAGGTTCTGGTGTCTCCATACCCAGCATGGGATTCAGACCCAGGGATTAGAACAATCTCCTATCCCTGGTTGGTGCTTTCCTTCCTTCCAGATGCCCTGGCCTCTCTTTGGGTCTGAGGGGGACCTTAATGTTATCATGGACTGGTCATTACAGACCTAAGACAGACCTAAGACATTACAGACCATTACAGACCTAAGACATTACAGAGCCCAAGGACAGGGCACCAGTGTGGCCAAGAGCTGTGTCTTCCCTCTGGTCTTGGAGAAGTTCACTAGCCCCCTAGACTTTCCTTGGAGCCGGGGGTGGGGAGAGAGCAGGCAAGAGCATCACCATGGAAAGGGGAACCCTCGCCCTCCTGGAAGCAGCAGGAAGCCAGGTCGGGTGCTCAGATGGCTTCAACGACACATGGACCCTAGCAGGTCCGACCCCCACCACCACCACTGTGACCTGGCTGATGTCACAAGCCATGGCAACCACGCTGGAGACGACCCCAGGCCCCTGCCCTCACCTGTGCCAGGCTGCTGCGCCCACCAGTCTGGAAGAAGCTGACTCCGACAGGCCTCTGGCGGGGACGGGCTCCTTTTGATCATCCCCACGTAATCGTCCACGGAAGGCTGCACGGCCAGGGGCGAGAGAGGGAACAGCTCAGCCACTGAACTCCCAACACGGGGCTCCAGCATTTATAAAAATGAACGGTTTTCATGTCGCTGAAACCATACTGCCATCTTCATCTCAGGAGACCAAAGTTAAGCTTCACTTTGCAACTTGAAAGGCCCTAGAGTGTAATTACTCAGGCTTAGCAACCAAACCTGCAGCTGAGTTACTGGGCTCTTAGGGAGCCACTAATAAGTGTATAGGCCTTTCCCACAGAACTGCCTGTTCACACCATCCAGGTGCCCCGGTGCCCTGCAGACGAGGACAAGTCCGGAGACACCAATGAACATAATTCTGAGCAATGCCTGCCACGCCGTGGAGCAGGTGCTCACGGAGCCACGTGCAGGTTCTCAACCTCCAACGCATTCCTTATAGGAGGCTGATAAACCCAATTATGAAACATTTTAACATCTGCTTTTCTTGTGACCCTAGCGTGACAATCTAATTATCGCATTCTCTTAGCTGAGTCAGCAGAAAAGCCTCAGACCCGGCCTCAGAAAACAGGACATTGGTAGAGAGACACAAAGCCAGAAATGCACTCACTCTGCCGCCAAAGACTACCCAGAAAAGCCAGACGGCTTAGAGTGCTCATTCTCTCACAGCCAGGCTACTCCCGAGGATTCCATTATCGCTGCCTTGTTATTAAGAACTTACTGTAATAGGATTCATGCCACCTTCTGCAAGGATTGCACGGGGTTATCTTCATTATGCCATTAAAAAAACACACAGTTCAGAGGCTAAGGGTAGAAGAAAAGGCCATCCAAATAGCTAAAACTAGACACAGAGTCCTAAGTCTTTGCCTAAAGAGACCTCATGAAGCCCTCACTTACAGCCTGTGAACCAGCCTTTACCTATAGTTCTAACAAGCTTGGCAATCTGGTTTTCCAGCCCATTAAGGCATAAAACCTGCATGTTAAAAATTAAGCAATCGAACAGCCAGGAGGACTAGGACAGTGGTCTGGCCCACTGCAACCTGGAGCAGCAAGGACCATTCACGTAGCTCCTCTCCCTGGCCCAAGAAGGCAGCTCAAGGCAAGGGAATTCTTGATGCATTTTAAAAGAGCACCACGCAGAAATGTTTAAAACATGAGCAGGGCGGTGCCTATGGCTCAGTGGGTAGGGCGCCGGCCCCATATACCGAGGGTGGCAGGTTCAGACCCAGCCCGGCCTAACTGCACCAAAAAAATAGCCCGGCGTTGTGGCGGGTGCCTGTAGTCCCAGCTACTCGGGAGGCTGAGGCAAGAGAATCGCCTAAGCCCAGGAGTTGGAGGTTGCTGTGAGCAGTGTGACTCCATAGTACTCTACCAAGAGTGATAAAGTGAGACTCTGTCTCTACAAAAATTTAAAAAATAAAATAAAATAAAACATGAGCAGCTTAAGAGCTTGAGGAAACTCCACTGACCCAGAGCAGGCAGCCCATGTCCAGCCCTGGGGAAGAAGGAAGGACAGAGGATGGGGGGCTGGCCAGTCAGCGATGCCACTCCTTACTAAAGACACAAGGCTTCTGCTGGCAGGGCCAGAGCCCTGGAAATGCCACCTCCACTTACCTCCTTGATCATCAGCTCATCAATTTCAGAGCGTCCACACTCCATCTCCGAGACTTCACTCACACAAGTGGGGGTCGCCATGCCCAGTTTGCCTACAGAAAACCCAACAAGCACCATGACACTTGGCCCTGAGGCGTCACACCCATCACTGAGGCCTGAACCCGTTTTCTACAAAAGCTGAGTGTAAGCAAGTCTAAGCTAACAGGTGACTTCTTGGGTTTGGGAAAGGCACAGATGCTTTTTCCCATGCCTCAGTCTGATCTCAGCTCATCAGCAAAGTCTGAGGAGAGAAGTTGGTGGCGGTGGCATGCTGACTTGTGCTCCTAAAGAATCAACACAGCACTTTGGTCTCTTCCTTCTATTTGCTGGGATCCAAAGTGAATCTGTATGAGACAGGCATTTACTCATCTACAGAGGTTAAATGTGTAAGCTGGGGCATTTGAAGACACGCAAAGCTTGCCTGGCCAGTGTGCTGGCAGGCTGGGGTCTTCTTTTTATAAAGCCAGTTGGCAGGAAATCTCTTCTCGGTCTTTCCAAATATGCAGGTGTGCATCTGTGCACACACACCACGCCACCCCACACACTCACGGATGCCCAGATGGCACCAGCCCTGCTCAGGACCTGTCTAAGACACGCAGCATTGTCACTGCAAGCAACCACCCCAGACTCTGTCTGTCCCTCCCAATCTCACACCTCTTCCCTGTCAATGATCTGCCTTATCAAGTCTATCTGTCAGAGACGTGTCCTAGCGACAAGCACTTGGAATTCTAATCCTCACGGCTACAGAATTCACCCACCCTTTCATCCTGCCCAAACTTTGATTTCATTTTGACAGATCCAAGAATTCACTTAGAAGCTGCTGATAGGGAAGTGGGGAGCAGGCGGCTGGGCCCCCCAGTGCAGCTGCGAACCACTGAAGTACAGAAGAGAGGGAGCCCATTTAGACATTATGCAAATGGGGTGCTGCTCTGCCCCAAGATCCTCCTGCCTCTTCGCTAACGTTCGTACTTGCAGGTGACTCTGGCTGGCCGCACCTCATGCAGTAAACAAGTCAGGGTCACCTGCCAGTTCGAGCTCAGCTGATCCTTGGGGAGCCGAGGGGGGCACGACAGAAACTCCTCTAGTCCCCCAAATCACTACTTGCTCTTTGGTGATGAAAAATTATCCAAAACTGGGAAATGAGGCAGAGAGATGATAGCTCGGCCTTTCAGAGCCACCCCAAGAGTATCACGCAGAGGCCTCCCCTAAAGACCATCTCATGCCCCAAGGGAAGGTCAGTTTGTGGGCCTTCCAATTTATCACGGATTAGGGTTGGGGCTCAGTGTCGGCTGCCAATCTGCAGATGGTCAAGCCATAAATGTCCCAGGCAATGGCTGGAATGTCCCTTGGACATTCCCAGTTTGGCTCAGCTTTCCGTCTCTCACTGGCCATACAAACTAGTGTGTCCACAGCCTGCCCATCAATCTTTGTCAGCCTTCTGTTCCCTCGTTATTATTTTTTTTTTTTGCAGTTTTTGACTGGGGCTGGGTTTGAACCGCCACCTCTGGCATATGGGGCCGGCGCCCTACTCCTTTGAGCCACAGATGCTGCCCCTGTTCCCTCATTATTAAGTTAAATAATTCTCTAACACAGGTTCACTGTGTATGTGTCTGAGACTCAAAACAATTCAACATTTTTTTCTAACTATTCATCAACATATTCCACCTCTCGGCAGCATGAGGAGTACAAAGTCAGGACTCTTACACACCCTTAATGTTTGGGACTCTTTAGTCCTAATGGCCTATCGATTTTTGAGGGCTGTTTCTTTCAGGAGTTCCTGTACCACTCATAAGCTTCTACGGAGAAAACCACTCATCAATATTCTAACCGCTACATGGAAGGGTGAAGAAAATCAACATGGTAAACAAATGTTTTCCACCGGTGATGTAATTACATGTTCTGTCACAAGTCAGCTGTGGGCCACAGCAGCTGCTCAGGAGGCCACCCTGGGAAGCATTCTGAGGCCAGATAAGAGCTCAGTACATTCCGATTGACTGGTGATGTCTGACCAGATCTGAGTTTAGTACATTCCAATTGATTGGTGATGTCTGATCAGAACAAGCCCAGGCAGTGGGGCCTGTGGCAAGTGGTTGCTATCCCCACTTTACTCCCAGCACAAATGCTTTCCGGGATTTGAGAGCTGGAAGAAGCCTCAGGAATAATCACATCCCAGAGTTCCCAAAAAATGTCAGATCTACCAACGTATTGAGGGGTATCCCATCTCCACCAACACAGCCCCCCAGAGCCATCTGCTACAACTTCCTTTGGAAAGTTTACTCTCAGCCCTCGTGGGCCAACACTTCCTTGCCCACCATATTTTTCCCCAGCCTCTTCTGCAAGCTGCTGGGATTCCTCATCAGAAACTGTTGGTGAATCCTTATTCTCATCCAACACAATCACTAAGCCTGGGGAAGGTCGGCACCTGCCACAGTCTGACAGTAAGTTAGCAAGCCGCAGGCTGGGCTGCATCCCGACTCCCCCACCCTTTCCTCATTCCCTGCCATGGCTCCCCGACGGAAGCTGCCGTTCGGACAGCAGATGGTGTGTGAGGTCAGCGGAAAGCAGCCCCGACATCGGCTTATATGAAGAAAGGAACGATTTGTTTAACTGAGACCATGTGCCCCAGACCCAACCTCTGCAGTGAGGGCCTCGCGCCAGGGCAGCTCCTAGAGGGTTCAAAGCCCGCAAAGGATAGTTACATTTCTGCTCCTCCTCAGGGACGATTCGGTAAACTTTGTATGGCTCAGAAATGTCCAGCTGGGACCGGTCTGTCACTTCCTCAAAATCTGGGCTCTTGTTTAAAGCACAGCGTAACCTCGTCTTCCAAGTGGCTGGTTCAGCTTTATCCCCTTCTTTAAACTTCCCTTTAAAAACTGCCCAGGCCTGAAGAAAGAAACAGAAGAGCATGACATACAAGGCCGGCCCCCAGCACAAACATCCGTCACTGCCACCAGGCCCCGGCACACCCTCCCCAGGCAGGAGTCTTTCTTGGCCATCAACTCTCGTTCAATTTAAGGACTCACAGAAACTGCAATTGGGCACGTTCTTTACCAGATGTGAAAAGAGCCAGGCCCAGGGAAGGGTCCCCCAGGTTCACCCAGGCCCACAGCGCCTCACACACACCCCTGACTGTGCCTTTCAGCAAAGTCCTTCCCTGGACGAGGGCCTGAGGTTAAGCAGCCCAAAGAGGAAGTACACATGGTTTCACTAGAACATTCACAACAAAGAACAAGCTGTTGCTTTTTCAAATCAACCCCTGGCTAAAATCAAGCATAAAAAGAGAACGCTTGCAAAAAGACTGAATGTAGCCATCCACTGCCCTGCCACTTTTAATAGAAATTTTCTTTTGCATTTTTGAATTTATTCTAGACTTTCTCCCCAAGGCACTGCTGAAAACGCATTGAAACGGTTTCCCTCTCTGGTTTTGGTGTTTTGTTTTTTAATAGCTCTGCTTTCTTACTTCTCCAAACCTCAGGATCTGAATGAGGACCAGAAATTCAAAGCCGAAATATTAAGAGTCAAAATGCAGAGTGGGGCAGTGTTTCACAAATAAGACACATGGGCGGAGCCTTGGCTCAAAGGCGTAGAGCGCCAGCCCCATACACTGGAGGTGGTGGTGGGTTCAAATCCGGCCCTGGCAAAAAAAAAAAAAACTGCAAAAATAATAATAATAATAAGACACATGAGGGGACGTATTTTAAGGATCCCAGATTGGGACACACCAACCATGAAGTCACCACCATCAGGTGAAAATTACCTTTGGTTTGTAGGCAAAATCAGATAGCGTCCTCCAGCCAGAAATAATAAGAGATGGGTAGGGAATTCTCAACTCCACTCAGGAAAAAGCGATTCCAAAAGGGATACAACTATGTCAGGGTGCCCAGTCTGGGATGAAATGCCAGGGCCCCTACTCCCCACCCAGTGGGCATCCAACTTAACGCCTCTCCAACTTAACGCCTATCAAACCCCTGGGAAGCTGGTGAAAACACGGGTTCCTGGGCCTGCCCCCTCCAGGTTCTGGGTTAGGTCTGGGAATCTGTATCTTCCGCAGCAGCCCAGTGGTTCTAATCCAGCTGGCCAGGAGTCCACACCTGCAGACAGTCCAGAATGTCCCCACGAGCCACAGCTCCTTCCAAACAGTCCTAGCTTCTCTCCCCTCTTAGAAAGGATGGGGATGTTTATAACTTACCGCCCATGCTCTCTACTCTGTTAAGGCAAAATTTTGCATCCAGGCCTGGGGTAAAGAAACAGGAAGCGTATTCCTACCACTGAGCGTGAGTGGTAGTTTCCTTTTCTAAGACAGATGGAAAACTTAGAAATATTTTGTAAAATACAC